GGAGAACTAGGTGTCGAATTAAGGCAGAATAAATCTGGTGTCTTTTTGGATTTCAGCTTCTGAATGTTTAGTAGAGAAGTGTTCAAAACTTTTGCTACAAAAGTTTACTTTCAGAAGAGGCACTGCAAACGATGAATTAAGTTGAAGAAAAGTAACTTTGGCATCACAGCTTCAATTTGTTTTAAGCTTTAGTTCCATTCTTCAGTGTGGATACAGCTGTTAAAAGTGGATGGAGGCAAATCATGGCATTTATTTTAATTTATGTCTTCTGGATACTAAAAGCTCATTTTATCTTATACGTTCGGGTTCTGTGAAGGAACACCTCCTGAAACAATCCAGAGGAGATGAGATTTTCAGACTTTTGTTGTTTTTTTTTTTTTTTAAAAAGGATTTCTCACATTGTTTCTTCTGCATTTTTTGGTCTTTTGACATACAAGTAAATTTCTTTCAGCATTCTGGAATGCAAGTTGCAATATTCTTTTCTACAGTGAGCTTTTAAAATTTAGCTTTATTATATGACTTTACAGCAGCTAGTCCTAAAGAAAATGTAGAAAGTGTTTTGCTTTTGAAAATTAAGCCAGTGAAATTCATTGCAACACACGAATATACTGAGCCGCCTAATACACACAGAATCCCAAGTCTGTTCTGTACAAACCCCATATTTAAGAAAATGACCTCTGTTTTTAAGACACTGTTCAATGTATAGACATAATTGCATACAAATGGCATTTCCATATGCCACCTTTACCATTGCAGGGTCAACATTTTCAGTGATTTTTTTAATTTATTTTTTTTTTTATTTTAATGAGGTGGAGCATGCCTGCCTGCGTGTGGGAAGACTCCCTTGCTTTTGCCAGCAAAAGCAGGTGGTATTCTCCCACCAGCCACGAGTTTGTTTGGGATGAGTAGCGTAGTGAACTAGCCACCCACCAGCCTTCCTCTTCAAACGGGCTGAGAGCCACCTGGCTCTTCTCCAAAAGCCTGCACTGATTCAGCACATCTCTGCAGCAGCCAGGAACATCCCCCTGAATTCAGTAGTGCAGGCTGCTGAGCGCATGGCAGACACTACCTCTCCTTTTTACTCCGATGTGCCATCAAAGTCAAAATTTTGGTGCTTGGGCTGTTAGCGTGGCCTGGGTGTAGTATGGTGAAATGCTCTGAGATGAACACAGTGGTGGAGGGCTCCGTTTGTCAGGAATAACGAACTTTCTCACATTTCCATAGGAGACAGAGCTTGCTTGGCTGTGTGTATACTGCTGTTATGAGGATGCTCTACATCAGTAGGGTGAGAGCTCTGGTATGTACCAGTCTGCCTTTTCTCTGCCTAAATTTCACTGTCTGCAGAGTCACCTGGCTCTCTCCAAATTAGAGCTAGCAAGAGCTAGAAGGAAGACTGTATGTGTGACTGAGTGGGTTTGATTGAAAGTTGCAGAACTACACTAGTGTGACAGCATAGGCGTATCTTTGGGAGACAAGTCCTAGATTACCGTGAATTCCCACATTAGCTGAGGACCTCGATAAACTTTTACAAATGTTTGCTGCAAGAAGAAGTCTTGTGCTTTTTCTGTCTCTTGCTTGAACCCAGACACTTAAAACCCAAGACTGAGTCAGGGAGGCCACAGCAGGTGAACAAAACAAAATGCTCTCTTAAGGCATTTTCAAGAAAGGAGCCAGAAGCCACACTAAGCGCCTTGCTCCTGGCGAGGCATTTATCATCTTCAGTCTTAGCGGAAGATGATACAGAGCCTCACTCCAGCAAACCGTATGTCTGGAGTTAAGCCCAAGTTATCACCAAGGACTCAAGAGCAATTATTCGTATCCTTCAACATGCTGTTGGAAGATGCTCAAATATGGTAATGAAGGTGGTATAACAATAGTGTCTTATCAAGCTCCTATTTAATTTTTAAAGCTGATTTCTGAAGTGTGTGCTGGTGGTAAGGTAGTAGTAAGTTTATGCTCCCTATTTACTTAGGTGTAAGGTCATCTGTTATGAATTATTCTTCTTTGTGTCTTTCCTTTCAATATCCATCTTATCTGTTCTTATCAGTTTACTTTTTCTTCTCTGAATGCCTCTGAGACCACAACAGAATCCTTAACTTTTACAGTATTATCAGATAATGTTATGGTTTTCTTCAGTGTTAGGACGGCAGGCAGGGGCAAATCGTAGCTAAAGAAGGAATGGTGTATTCAGGAGTCTGGCATCTGGCCTCTTCAAAAATTCAGCTTTAGTTTTATGATATCTTGCTACCTATACATTTGTTATTTAAAAAAAACCAACCAAACACATAACTGAAAAATCAACAGTTTTATCTGTGAGGTCTCATGCTGTAAATATTCCCACTTTATAGCTAGGTGTAACTTTGTTTTCATAGAGATTTTTGAATGTTTGTTATACCTGTCTCTTTGTAACTAATGATGTAGTAGATTGAGTTCAACAAAGTGTCTAAAACAAGATTAAGGTTAATTCTTTATTAACACAAGAAAAATAGAGAACCCTTTGGAGAGTGAGAATGCCAAAGGTCTTTTACTGAGACTTTTTTTTTCCTTTTTATTATTTGACCAGTCTGTAATATCCAACATACTGTAACTATTCAGACTTTTTGAGTATTCTATAATTTCAAAAATTCTTTGAAACTATTTTGGCATTGGTAGTATCAATGAGATGATGCTTTTCTGAAGAAGACTTCTATGCATCTACCATTTTGTATGTATGCTCCGTTTATAAGTTAGTTGTTCTTACTTGTTTAAAGTTAGTCCAGTATTTATTTGAAGGTACAGATATCTCCAAAACTTGGGATAACTATTTTCTAAATGTTCTGTGGGTTTTAGTAATTATCTTTAAATCAGTCATAATCCCTCTTAAAAATGTTTTAAATTAGTAAGTAAAAAACTTGAACATTATTTTTTTTATATATATATCTTAAAGGAATGTTTTCAGTTTTCTTAGCGGCCATATATTTCTTCTGTTAGAGCAGAAGTAAATTTCCTTCAGTATCTGTAGAAGAATATCTTTAGGTATCGAAAATTTAAAACAAATTGCTAGCCCTTCAGAATCCCAAGCAGTGTTCTGATTTTATAAAATATGCAGCCTTTCAGGTAGGTAGAATATTTTGCATGTCTATTGTACTTTCATCAGAGTATCTCATAAAATCTCCTGCTAGTTTCTGTCAGTCAATGTAGACTCTTGTAAGAGTACTAGCAACCTAAATAACCACCTAATTGCTTTTTATCACAATGCAGGGAAGGGGGTGTTATAAGATCTGTTACCAGATACAAAGAACAGGTTATTCTTCAGTAAATGCAAACCTGTATTTTTATAGAGTAGCACATCAGGACTAATTGTTGGTTTTAGTAAATGTGTCTGTGTTGTCATGTTGAAGCCCTTCCAGTTTCAAGTTCCGCTCCTCCATGCACAGCCAGTCGTTCCACGGGTGAGAAACAAAACTGCAGAACAAGCTCAGTTCCTGGATGCTAGTGAAGGCACTGAAAACTTTGTTTCTGAATCAGACCAGAATTTACTAACTTAATAAATATCTGAATTTCCTTAAATCATTGCCAGAAGAGTGCAGTGAAACCCATCTGAAACAACCTTCCAGTGGACTGAGAAGTCTGTTGCTTGGGAGAGGTGGTCTGTTGAGGAGAGAAAAAAATTATACTTTTTACACCTGAATTCGTTGTAATCTGACTGTATTAGTGACCATTACAGACACTGTAACTCAAGGTTTATTTTCCTTCAGTAGGAGTAGGAAGCAAAGAATTTATACTTTGTGGTGGCTGCTTTGGACAAAAGCTGTCTAATATTTTGTGGTTTGTATTTTTTCCCCCATGATTTTCTTGCTCAGTATGCCACTTATACTGCAGAGGGTGTGAGAAAGTTCATTTTGTGGGCTGAATATCTCGGTACATATAATCAGATATTTAATATTTTTTTCATAAAATGCATTTTTTCTGTAAAACTTTAAATTCTACAACAGCTGTCTACTGTTTATGATCATCTTGTTGCCAAGCTCTAATTACTTGTACATATCATAATTGTGAAAATTAATGAGCAAAACTATATGAAGGATGTAATTGGCCTTGATGTTGTTGTGGACTCATAAAAATAAACGAGCTTCAAAATATATTAATTATTATTTGATTATTAATTGAATACTGTTTTCTACTAATGCTAGACCTTTCAAGAAGCACAAATCACCGAAGGAGCTCTGTGTGCTTGTATGAGTGCAAGTCCTTATAGAAAATCACAAGTGAGCTCTTCTGGGTTCTAAAGTTTCCCCCCCATGCTCCCCCTTTCCCTCGAATCCTTACCAGCATGTATGTCCTACATTGAATTTTTGATATATTAGCTATTCTTTGGGTATTATTTGATTTATTCTTTTTCTGTATTAGCTATTCTTTTGGTATGTTTTTATCTATATTAGCTATTCTTTGGGTATTATTTGATTAGGTGCTAATAAGCATTAACTTAGTCAAACTGCAGATTTATGAGGTGTTTTCTCAGCTAGTCTATAAACTGTTTAAATGTTGTGGATTGCAGAAGTATTCAGTTTTGTTCACCTCACATGTAACTATTCATAATTGTAATTTCCCTTTGCCTAATAGGGTATAGAGTAGGGAAGTACAGAGATCACCCATAACCAGTAGTTCTTAGAATGTATTTTGTTTATCAGTCTGTTATTATTTATTTACATTATTTAAACTGTAATTTGAATTCCTTCCAACATGTGACTATTAGCAACAGTTGCAGATAGAAAAATAACAGTTTTGTTTCTAGTAATATGATCAGAAGGCAAAGGCCAAGTAAAATACGAATTTATCATATCCAGTCTTGAGCTTGGCATAAATGTATGCATTTAAACCCACAGCTTTTATAAAAGAATCTTTTTGAGAGCAGATTACTGTTTTAAAATTGCTGGAATGGGTTTATGAAAATAGTTTTCTTTTCCATTTCTACATAAAAGCAAAATAGGTTAAGTCTTACTTTTAATATATTTCCACAGGTGTATCTTGAAAGACTTTTAACTTACGCAGAGATAGATATTTGTCCAGCAAACTGGAAGCGAATTGTACTGGGTGCGATTCTGTTGGCATCCAAAGTTTGGGACGACCAGGCAGTGTGGAACGTGGATTACTGCCAGATCCTGAAAGATATCACGGTTGAAGACATGTGAGTGCAGTTTGTTTGTCAATGAATGCCAAGATCTGTGTGTATGAGGGGGACGGGAAGTTCTCTTATAAAGTGTATAAAGTTTGTGTATCTGCGTTGTAGCTAAATGTGGGGGATGCTGATAGATGGCACGAGGTCTACTTGACAGTTGCTTACATAGAAGATGTGAATTATTTTTGTTTTCTGGTTGAAGTGTATTTTACCACTGGCTGTTCATGCACGGTGATGAAAACAGACCTGCAGTATATTTAAATGTATGACTTGACAAGAAACCCCACATGCAATGAGCCTGCATGTATTCACTTCAGCAACATTTACTGTTGTGCTAGTCCTCCATACAGTCAGGAGACCAACATGTAACGCCGGAAAAAAAATTGTTGTGATCCTAATCACCCTTAGATGATCACCCACTTATTTATTGTCATTATTCAAAATTAGTGCGTTGGGGGTTTTGGTTTGTTGTGTTTGGGTTTTTTTCCCCCCCCTGTATCCTGCTGAGTTCGTTTCCAGTATGTTAAAAATCTAGTATTTTAACTTGCAAAGAGAAATTTCCATTTTTTCCTTTTTTTTTTAATCTGATGGCATTTGTAAGAAGTGCATGGTGTTACAGGATAGAGAGTTGTTATATCTGGCTGGATACTCCTGAGCCATTTCAAGAGTATATTCCAACGGTAATAAAAGGAACTGTAATAAGAATAAACACAATTAAGATCTTAATGTTTAGAAATACTGAAATGAATGGTCATTTCGCTACAGTCAAGTGCTTTTTTTGTTTGGTTGGTTAGCAGGTATTATATATTGGCTGAAGTGCCTGGGGTTTGTATCACCTATACATTCAGGGCTGGGTCATATACCACGCACACTTCCCGAGGTGCCCTTGCCTGAGCTGGCGTGCGTGCGAGAGCGGTGCTGGACGGGCCGCAGGTGGAATCGGTGCTGGGATGGTGCCGGGGGCTGGATGCCTTGACAGGCCACCGTGGCTCGTGCATTTGGAGAGCAACCTTTTCAACCTACTGGTGCACCTCTTTTTTTATAAGTAGTAATAACACACACACGCACACACAAAAAGACATTTTAGCACAGTATCTGTGTGTTTCAGAGCTCTTTCAAGCCGAGCTAAGTATCTGTAATGACAAGTATATAGATTTGTCTCTGCTTTTACTCACTTACGTCAGGATCACAGCCACCGAAGAGAGTTTGTTGTGAATAAGCACTCTGGAAGGAGGGAAGAGGGAAGGAGAGAAGTAGATGAGAAGGAATCTTTATACAGACAGAATGTTTTTTGAGTCTCAGTTGCAATCTCAAAGCAGTGAAAGGCCAAGCGTTTTTGCTAAAGCAGCCCTAATTTAGTTTCTTCATAGTTCACCATTTGTCAGATTTATAGCTGGTCTAAAAATGATCTGTAAGAGAAAGGTTGAATGCTAGGAGTCAGCTGATTGCTTTAAATTAAGCATGCTTATACAGTGCTAGATAAGACTTATAAATCGTGAGTGGCTGTCATTGCTCAAGTATTAGGAAAGTTCTCTCTAAATCTTGTATTAACAAGCTATTTGTAATAAGGTGGGTTTTCTCCTCCAAGTCAAAGAGAAAAACGCAAAGCTTGCATTGCTGTCGTATGCTGCAGGTACTTACATTAGTTTGGGGGAAAACTCTCATTTCAAAATAGAGATGGAAAATACTGCATGATGCCATTTTGGTATCTGTTTTAAAATACGTAAGCTACTTTAAGGATGGTTCATGATACTTCTTTTCCGACATAACCCAGACGGAATGAGATTTCCAAAATAAAAGGGAGAATAGAGGGGACAAGAAGCTAAAACCAGGCCCTTCACATTTCTGTGTGTAATTTTATTCCATGCAGAACAATTTGATAATGCTTCCTTGGCTGTTTTGAGTGTTTCCTGAATGATTTTGCTAAGCCTCTTTCCCCTTGATCCTTTTCTCATGCTTTTGGGTGTTCAGTGGCAGTAAGGGCCTCCGTCCATTCACTCCTCCTCCAAGGCAAATCTGGGAGCTTTTAAAGTATCTCTGAAGCTGGGACATGAGCTGAAGTAGCGTCCTGAACAGCTTGAACAGTGACAGGTTTGACCATGCTGTGTCACACTATTAATCGGGAATGGACATAAATATGAGTTCTGCAATTGCTGATTCTCAGGACATTTTTTGAAGGCAGGTGATGAGGCATACTGTGGTGGTGCGAAAGGAAATGAAAAAAGAGGGGTTTGTTTTTGACAAACGTGTGGTGGTGCTACTGTTAGCAGTTGCACTCGAGCTGTGTGATGCCATTACTCACCTGGCAGACCCGTGCTAACATCAGCCCTCTTCCTGCACTGCACGTTCCCTGTGCCAAACCCTGATGAGTCCTTGTCCTCAAAGTTTTTAGCTCCTTAACCTTTTCTTAAAGATTTTAGAGTTCTCACAAGCTGCAAAACCAAAAGCCTTTGGGGAGCCTGTGCTCTCTATATGGTACTTGGTTGTCTGGCTCATGGACTTCATGTTTGGGGCTCCTTGCGAATCCTCCAGCAAAGATTTTGGTGCCTGTTGACCTGTCTGCTGCCAGTTTTTTCAAATTATTTTTTCCTCTTATCCCTAGTGTGGTGGATTTTTTTTTTCTTATTTTTCAGGTAGCTGGGACAGCGCAGTGTCGTGATTTTGAAGAGTCTAGCTCTGCACAAGATGGAGGGCTTTCACTGTTTATATCAATGAGGCAGAAAAACTCTAGGTCAAAATCTTCAACTGCTGTGAATCATTCAGTATCTTGCAAAACATCGTGCAAACCTTTCAGTGTTTTATAAGTCAGCAGCAGTACATTGAACGGTGCCTAAAAGCTAAGAGAGGACTTGTGAGGACTGAAGTGCAGCATGTAGCATTGCCTTGAGCTTCTGTGTGAATTTGGGGAGCGACCACAGGAGACCCTCTGCTAACGCAGTCTCATGGTGGTCAGTTATATTCCATTAGTTCAAATCCAAAACACATGTATGTTTTTGTTATTTCTCGGCTGTAGTTAGTTTGCTGATCTAACCTTCAAATCTGGGAACTAGGGGATAGTAAGAATCTGAGGCTATATATTGTTCTTAAAGATTTGGTGATGCTCTTCAAAAGAGGTACAGCCAATGTCTTTCTCCATAAAAATACTTTTTATATTAGCCATTAAAATAGACCTTTAGGCTTAGCTTGCAGAAAGTAAAGTCTTGGCAGAATAAAAGGGCGTTTAAAGACAATCTTCTGTATTTATTGATAGATGTCTTAAAATGTAATTTTTTAAATTTGGATTCTTTAAAGGCTAAAATATTCAACAGTGTGAATTCATGCCAAAGAGTCCGTATCCAGCTTTTAATGTTAATTAATATTTATCGTTATGTAAACATAGAATTTTGGCAGAGAGGGAGTGAAGGTAAGGAACGACAATGATTGTGATGTAAGAGTAGAGTGAGAAGAAAAATCATTCAGTGTTGAAAAACTACTGTACCAGTACTTTTTATCCTCAGATCCTTCCTCTTCTATTGCCAACTGCCTGCACGTTCCTTGCACACTTACACTGCAGTCAAAACGTAACTTAAATGCAATATCATAGTCAGTCAATGCCTCCTGGTAACACA